AGGCAGAACTTATCCACTGCTCCTAACAAAGATGAAAAGACAAAACAACAACAACAACAAAAACTCTGTAAGTGTATATAAGCTAAAATACCAGTTTAAACAACCTAAAATTAGAGTTCCAATGCTGTCCAAATAGGCAATGTGTCCTGATCTGAAGCTTTAGACAAGCAGACAGCTTAGAGAGCTGGGCTGTGGTATACTTTGTTCTCAGGCATTTGAACTGTTTATCTGTAGTGCCAATTTTTGGCACACACTAGAATAATACCCAGCACCTCTCCCTCAGGTGCAAATTCTGCTTTGCTCATCTCTTCCAATACAGATATTAGGAATTTGCTGTTAACAATATGGAAAGTAAATCTGTTCTCTTGCTAGTAGCAAGATGCCAGAAAATTAAAGAAAACAAAACAAACCAACAAGCAAGCAAACAAAAAAAAACCGAAAAACACACACAAACAAAATGTGTGGTACACAAAACTCCCATATACTAAAGCAACAGATTTCTGAGCCATGGCTGAGGCATGCTACCTGCTTACACCCACTCAGCATGGGCTTGACTGCTAGTACACTTCATTATGTAAACGCAATTTGCTATCACAACATATGTAGTGCTATGAGGTGATTTTCACAAATTTGTATCACTCTCTATCAGCCATCTTATGTGTGTACATTTATGAGTGTAGAGGTGTTTTTGTTAGAAAGCATCAATCTGCTGTTGCAAAGCACAGAGCTGGTTTGCCACTCCTTGAAGAGTGAATAATTTCAATGGCAGTGTTGCAGGGCGGGTTGCTTGCTGCATTCACAGCCCTCTTCACAGGCTGCTTTTTCCCTTCCCTGTGAATCTTCTTCCACAGTGAAGACTTCTGTGTCATTGGCAGCTACAAGAGTTTCATACCTGGATGATGTAAGACTTTAAAAATACATTTATTTCCCCTATGTGAGCTTTAACTTGTATGAACTTTACACAAGTTTCCTTTGTTCTTGAATAGGAAACTGGACATTGTACATGGTGTGAAATAAGAAATGTCAAATCTCGACAAAAGGATCCATCATCTGCAAGAGATAGGAGTGCAGGGATTGTTTATACAACTTCCATCTCCTGAAATTTAAGTGGGATACTGTTATCCTATGTTGGCTAAACAGATGGTACATTTTCCTGAGGCTAGTTAGCTATGCAGAATATAGTCTGCAGAGAGTGATAGGAAATCCTTGATACCTCTCTGATTATAGCCAAGTGAGAGGCTTGCTCAAGCCACAGCTCAGCACAGCTGAAATGGATGGTCTCAGGCTGGATGCTGTAAAGTTGGGCTTATGCTACCCCCACACTCAGGCCAATGTGTGTGATAAATGGCTAGGTCAGTTTCTTTTCCCTGTCAGAAAATTCTTAGGTAAAATGACTGCCTGCTGAGGCCCTCTCAGATGTAAGAAACTGAGTTTTTAATCTGTGTTCTAAAGAAGCTCTGTTAGATTTTAACAGGTAAAAGTATCACAAGTGTGCTCTCTTATTGAGGATACAAAGACCGACACAGATAAATGCACTAGTTTTTCAACAAAAAACATCTGACCTTTCAACAGTTGGGTTTGATTAATTCTCTTGTGAGTGATGAGGGCTGTGTAATGTCATTCCATGAAAAATGATAAAGTAAATCCAATCTCTTATGTAGAAGGTATTTGTCTAAGAAGTTTCCAAATCAATCCTAAAATTATTTTTGCGGCATTGGTAGCAAAGTTTTAATTTCCGTGTTTTATACAAAAATCCTACAGATGCATTTTGTACTGCCTTCTTTTGTTGTCATGTTCAGATGAGGTTCGGGGTGGATATTAGGAAAAAATCATTCTCAGAAAGAGTGGTAAGGCATTGGCACAGGCTGCCCAGAGGGGTGGTGGAGTCACCATCCCTGGATGTGTTCAAGAGATGTGGAGATGTGGCACTGAGGGACATGGTCAGTGGGCATGGTGGGGATGGGCTGGGGTTGGACTGCATGATTTTAGAGGTTTTTTCCAACCTTAACGATTCATTGGTTCTGTGGTTCTTGCTCCACGCAGAGATGAGCATGCATGAAGTAGATGCAGTTGTTTTGGTCAGTAAAAGAATAAGAATTCTAACTGGAATAAATGGTTGCTGCTGAAAGCAAACTGAATACTGTATTGGGATAGATGTATACATATTAACAGATGTTAATAGTGGGGCCTTACATTGAGTTTTCATGCACAAAACTCCAGTCAGTTCATCTCAACCTTTGTATATACATAAAGATGTGGAGAAAAGTCAGGTGGGACCAACAGTAAAGTAAAGCAACAAGTGCTGATTTTTATTATGCATTAGGTCTTCAGAAGGAAGAGGGTAAGGACAGAGAGGTGATGGCATGGCTCTCTATGTTAGAGAGTGTTTCAGTGTCACAGAGCTTGGGGCTGGGAATGAGAAGGTTGAGCCTCTACGGGTAAGGATTGGGGGGAGGCCAACAATGACGATATCCTGCTGGTGGTCTGTTACACACAAGAATGAAAAGATGGATGAGGTGTTCTATGAGCAGCTGGCAGAAGTTGAGCAATTGCCATCCCTTGTTCTCATGGGGGACTTTAGCTTCCCTGATTTCAGCTAGAAATATAGTACAGCACAGAGGAACTAGTCTAGGAGGTTTCTAGAGTATGTGGAAGACAACTTCCTGATGCAGCTGGTAAGGTAGCCCATGGGGAAGACTGGTGCAGCTGAAAAGGGAACTTCTGCTGAGATTCTGGGAGAAAAAGAGAGTCTATCTCCTGAGGCAGAAGGGACAGAAAAATTAGCGAGAGTACAAGGAAATTGCTAGGACTGGCAGGGAGAAAATCAGAAAGGCTGAAGTCCAGCATGAGTTCAACTTGGCCACAGTGGTAAAGGACAACAAAAAATTTTTTTACAAATGTATGAACAGTAAGAGGAGGGCTAAGGAGAATGTCTGTCCTTTACTGGATGCAGTGGGAAACATGACCACTGAGGATAAGGAAAAAGCTGAAGTTCTCAGTACCTTCTTTACTTTTGCCTTTAATTGTCAGACTAGTTATCTTTGGGGTACTCAGCTTCCTGACCTGGAAGTCTGGGTTGGAGAGAGGAGTAAACCCTTCATGGTTAAAGTGGAAACAGTCAGAGACCTGCTATTGCACCTGTATACTGTCACAAGTCCATGGGCCCAGATGGGATCCACCCAAGGGTGCTGATGGAGCTGGTGGAGGTGATTACCAAGCTGCTTTCCACCATCTGATCAGCAATCCTGGTAAACCAAAGAAGATATTTCCAACCTATAGAAGCTCATAAAGGCTTATGATAACACAAAGTACATATAACTAACACTCATGCAACTAATAACTTTGCATATGCCCTGCAGAGGCTTCAGTGGAATTACTCATGCACAAAGACAAGTCAAAGTGTGAGGTATCTTACTAGGACTCCTTCTGAAAAGAGGAAAAAATGCTGCCAGCAGCTAATAACAGTATAAAACAGCTACAGGAATACCTGAGTTGGCTGCAGTGAATGTTCTTATACTCATTTTTCTCTGAAGACTTACAGACTGTTGAATTATTGCAATCAATTCCTCCAAATCCAATACCAGATGAAGGAGCTGCCAGATATCCATGCCCCCACTAAATTATAATTGATCTAAAACTAAAATTTGTTGCTTTTCGCAGTAAAAAATGAATCTTTCTTCTACAATATCTTTTTTTCTGCCTACTTTTGAGAGTAGCACATAGAGCAGCACATTTCCCATCTGAATGGTGAGGCCCTGGCACAGCTGCCCAGAGGAGCTGTGGATGCACCACCACTGGAGGTGCTCAAGGCCAGGCTGGATGGGGCTCTGGGCATGCTGATCGGGTGAGTAACAACTAGACTATAGCAAGCAGTTGGAACTGGGTGAGCTTTAAGGTCCCAACAATTCTATGATTTCATTAGCAGATGTGGCAAGTATTCTATGAGCAAATTAGGCAGCCAGTTCTCTCTGAATTTCAGTGTATTCTGAGTACCAACTATACTTTCATTCAAAACTTAAAAGTGTCTGAGAAAGTGTTTCACATCTGTTTAACTACCAGGCTATGAGTGCTCTGTCTGGGATAAGTATGCTTATGTAGTACTGCTGAATTGAGCATCTCCATACAGAATGGTTTGGCCTGTGAGGAACCTCAAAACCCATCCAACCCCAAATCCCTGCCATAGGCAGGGCTGCCACCCACTAGATGAGCCTGCCCAGAGTCCCATCCAACCTGGCCTTGAGCACCTTCAGGGATGGGGCACCTACAGCTTCTCTGTGGAGCTGTGCCAGGGCCTCACCACCCCCTGAGTAAATAATTTCTATCTCACATCTAACCCGAATCTCCTCTGTTTTCATTTAAAGCCATTCTCCTTGTCCTACTATCAGACTGTAAAATTTCCTGATCTCCTTTCTGGACATACTGGAAGGCCTCCTCTCCTCCAGGCTGAACAAGCGCAGTCCAGATGTACAGAGCTAGAACGAGGTATTTTGACTGTTCTAAATCACAGGTACTACTGAAAGACTGTGTTTGCATGTTTTTATAAAGTGGAGTCATGTCCACTGTGATGCAGAATTCACTTTTCTAGATTTCTGTCATTTGGAGAGTGCTTCTGGTAAAAGATCATTATTTACATTTCTCAGTTTGTTTTCTCCTATGTTTGTTTGTTTTGTTCTCAAATGTTCCTCCTATTAATGTGTCTTTTGGAATTGCCTGGCCTACTTTAGGCTAAAAATAGCCATTGTTGCTGCTGCTGTAGCTCTATACAAGCCACATAGCACCCACACTGGGAAAAAAGCCTCATTCCCTGCAGATCTCTCCTGAAAGGAGAAGGTCAGAAACACACAGGACCAAACAGCAGGAAGGAAAACAAACCCTGTGCTGCTTGTATCAGGCTTGCTGATGGTGCAGGGTGGGAAAACAGCAGAAAGAAGCATTGGTGTTCAGGTCTCCCTCGGAATCCTCCCACATATAGACAAGCACCATAGACGCCATTGGTCTTATGGAGAGTGAAAGAGAAAATGAAGCTGAAACTGCAGATCAGAAATTTCGTTGTTGTTTTTCAAGCAGTCATTCTTCAGGTTGATTGAACTTTGGTGGAGCAGTGTTTGGCTATGTTCGGATGAACACACACCATGCTGTCACACTACTCCAACACACAGCGATACCTCTCGCCCTGAGCCTTGCTCAGCAGGCTGTGTCTGTTCTTCCAACCTCCTGTAAGGGAAAAAGCCTGTAGATACACAGTTACGCTTTTGTCTGCACTGCAGCAGACACCTTTCAGACCTGGATGAATACCTTCATGCTGTACATTGCTCGTGCCCCTCCAGCAGCTTATGGTACAGGCAGGTCAGACAACCTGGGGTTTCTGGAGGCCTTGGGAAGTCACTGTCCCATGTCATTGTGCTCTCTGACTGCAAGTGGAGGGAGAAAGTAGTGTTGGAAAGCAGTACTGTAGCAACTATTTAACTCCTTTGCTCTACAGATGCATATTTAATTTTCTTGATTTACTTTAGCTTGTGAATGATATATATTTTCCATTTTGCTGTTAAACCACATTAGCAGGACTTCACGCAGCTGTGGGAAGCCAGGACTCTGTACTCGTTTTCAGTAGGATAACTTCTGGGTCACCTTGTCTTTACACTGGCAATCAGAAATCTGGCTCACATGGTAGTAGTCGGTAACGTTTTCACTGATAATAACACCTCTGTGGCTGAGAGTCAAACCATAGTTTAACACAGCGTTCTGTGTTCTTACAGAGTCTCACAAGCAATAGGTTGCTGAGAAAAGGTTATGTCGGGTGCCACAAGTTCTGCCTGGCCCAGCAACCTAAGCACAACGGGAGCTGCTCAGTCGCATAGGGCAGCGCACACTCCTCAGCGTGAGGACGTGCGGTGCCTCTGATCGGTGGTAGCGGCTGGTGCTGGGGGCAGAAAGCCTCTGACGCAGTGCATGGATTCCCCTCCTAACATCAGCTTGCCCTCCTTCAGGCGGAGGGCCGCCTCACCCGGAGCATCCCTCCCTCATCCCACCTCCCGGAGCTTAGGGACAGCCGCACTGCTACAGCTCGCCCCGTCCCCATCCCTCTGTGTCTCTGCTTCGCTTCTCTGCTCATTCTTTTCCCCTCCCGTTCTCATTTGCGGAAGAGGCAGCCCACCTCTGCCTCTGGTGCTGGATGCGGACACTGTCAGCCCTCCGCAACCGGCGCTGGGGGAGAAACAGCAGAACGCGGACAGCTTCTGAATTAGCGCTAGCAAAATGCTCCCCCAGGGTGGGGAACGTTTAACTCACCCACCCCCCATAAAATCACAGACACACACACCTCGGCCGCGCGTGGGACCGGGGAAACCCCGGCGAAGAGAGGCTCCGGCACAAAGGGGCTGTCCTGGAGTACGGCCGGCCGCCGGCAGCCCGGGGATCTCCGCGCTCCCTCCCCTCCGCCCGCCCCTCCCTGTCCCCGTCTCCGGCCCCTTTCCCCTCCCTCCGCTCCGCAGCCGGGGCGGGGGTCTGTAACGCGGCTCCAGCGCACGGAGAAACAGAGGAGGAGAAGCGGGCGATGGGGAAGGAGCAGCGCTAATTATCCCCTTGTCATCATTAAATAAATAAAAAAAAAAAAAAAAAAAAAGAACAAGAAAAAGAAAAAAAGGGGAGGGAGTGAATGAAGGGGAAATAAAAAATAAATAATAATAATTTTAAAAAAGGGAAGACAACCCTGTACCCCCCGCCCCTCATCACCGGCGCAGAGGAGGAGGGAGGGCGGACCATGATGCCCGGCTTGCGGGCGCTGCCCGCCCGCCCGCATGGACACCGCCGCCCGTAGCGGGGCCGCAGCTCGGGGTGAGCGGGGCCGGGGGCCGCGAGGGGCCGGGGCCGCGTCCCGCGAGTGGGGGTCGGGAGAAGGGCGAGAGCGGCGCGTCCCGCGGGGGCACTGGGGCGGCGGGAGGCGGGCGGTGAGGACGCTCCGCGGCGTGGTTCTCCGCTCCGAAAGGGGCTTGTGTGTGGACGGCTGCAGATTTGTGTTCTGCACCTGTAATGACCCTGGAAAGCGCGAAGGCAGCGGGACCGGGGTGCCTGGGGAAGCTGTGTGGGGCCGGCTCGCTGCTCTCCACATGGCGAATGGAGGAGGAGGTGCAGCACACTTCGGGTGTGCAGCGTGCTGCTCGGAGAAAGCGACGCCGGCGCGACGTGATGGCATTTATCGAGAGGTACCTTTCCGAGAGGAGGTCGTGGAGTTTTCCCCCGCCCCTGCCACGGGGATACGTGCGCGCCCTCCCCACGAGGAGACCCCCCATCCTCTCCTCCTGACCCACCTGGCTGCCCTTGCAGCCCACCGGCATGGTTTTACTACGGCTGTAGTCAACGCGTGTTGGTTTTCCTGCCTGTGGGAGTGGGGATGGAGCGGTGCTGGCTGCCATCAGCCCACAGAAAGACCGGCGTGAGGGAAGGTGGACACCATGTTTCTGCTGCTCTGTTCCCCCGCCGTGCTCTCCTCTCACGTTCTTTCGCAGCGCTACGGAGTTGTTTGTTTGGTAGTTTGGAATGAAACTGCTTGCTGCAGTAGTGCATTATGGATACGTTACATGCGGGAAAAAGACTGCAGAACAGAGGCGTAAGAATAACACTACATGCAACGTCGCTGCCAGTACTGGATGTTCTGGGAAGCCTGATCCCGAGACTTTTTGCACATATTAGAAAATCTAAGTGGTCTGTAAAGGAAAAGATGGTGGCATTGTGGTCAGCTATTACTTAAAGCTTTCAGGTAGAGAGATGCAGTTTGCTAGCTGATGCCCGAGGTTATTCAGTTCTCCCTGTCCCTCTTGCTGAGTCCTTAAGGAACGCGTGGTCAGGGTAACAGCAGTGGTGCTGCACATAAGGGCTCTCATGGGCTTGCTGGAGACACCTGGGGCAGGAGAGAGACTTCAGAGTGTATTGTCCTTGCTGGAAATGAGGTGGGTAGGATGAGGAAAAGGAGCGGTTCGCAGCTCTCTGCTCAGATTCTGCTTGTGTTTATACCTGGGCCCAATAAAGGGTTATCTTCTGTTGGTTTTTTGTGTTTGTTTGCTTTTTCCAACACTTCAGGTTTCCTAGAATGTGCACTTGTTCTTGGATGTGGAAAGAGGTTTCCAGAGGAATTACTCCAGAATGGGTCAGGGGCTGCTCTGTGTGACTGCCTCAGCTTCTGAATACAAAGATTCAGTTTAATCTAAGGACAGTCCTGTGGAGGTCCCTCTTTTTTTAAAGTCATTTTGTTACTTTAATGTGTGATTATTATTTTTTTGTTGTTTGTTTTTCATAAAAATAAAAAAAGTGAATCTCTAAAAGTCCTTTTTGCGTTTGTCCATAAGTAAATGTAAATGTGTTGCACAGGAGAACACAATTTGCAGATTTGACATAAGGGAAAAGAAGGAAAAAGGTGACATCTTTTTGAGTATCTGTCAGTGACTGGGAACTATGACAACTCATCTCTATTGCCTCCCCTTATTTACTTATTTTCCCTCCTCCCTTCTCCAAATTGCCCACCATATTTCAATGAATGGCAGCCTGTGCCAACCCTGAGTGGAAAGCAAGTTATGATGGAAAAAAGCATGCTAAGCCCACTGGTTTTTTTAATTCAGAATGATGTTTAATGCTACTTCTTTGGTGCTGGATGTGAATTTGTTTCAGAAATGGCTGATGTACCTCAGCAGAACAGTTGAAGTCGTCACTGTGTGTTGAAACAGGTTAATGAGCACCAAGGACTGTGCTTTTTCTTTCTGATTTTGGTGAGACTTCAGAGGAGAGAAAGAGCTGGTGGAGGGCTGTGTCTTGGTTGGGCATACAGTAGCCTCTGCTCAGTTACAAATCCTCTAGGTGGTTCTAATATAGTAATTAGATATATTTTAACTGAGTTGAGAAAGTTCAGGAGTAGAAAATTTTTGGATTTTTAATTGGGCCATAGCAGTCCATTTCATTTTGTTCTTTTAATATTGTATCTTACTTTTCTCTGACAACCTCAGTAACCATGAAATAAAATTCTTTTTTTTTTTTTTTTCCCTCACTCTTCTTTCCAATTTTTGTTCAGTGGTACGAGTCTAGATGCAAATTGGGTTTTGTGGGGTTTTTTGTTCGTTTGTCTGTTTTTTGAAGCATTTTTTTTTTAATTCAAAAGCATTTATATAACTGTTACTTCACTGTATTCATTGTATGTTGAACAAGTTGGTCTGTTCCCCAGCACTCTAATTTTTCCACTTTGTAATAGTCTCCATAACCACACGTATCTTACTGTTCTGCAGAAAACAGCAGTGTGGAGGAAGTATGTTTGTCCAGTTTCTCGGTATCCATGGTGAATATTGTTTTGAGTGAGGTGTAATTGTGGAATTGTCAGTTATCTACAGTTTCTGCTGGCTGAAGCTATGTGCCAAAAAAACAGCTTTCTGAAAGCTGTTCTATCCGGGGTTTGAAGTTCCTGATGGAACTTTTGCTACGTAGATGCAGTTATCTCACCAAAATTCCAAGTCTGGTTCAATTTTTAAAAAGGGTTAAAAAATGTAAAATGCACTTAAAGTTCTGTGGAGAATAAGGGTTGTATTACTCTTTACATGGGAAACAAAAAAAAAATAGTTTTTTTGGTTCATCTTGGCAGCCTCTTCTTCTCTCTCTTGGTTTATGCTGATGAGATTTGTGATACCTGGTTTCACACCTCTGAGCCCACTGAATTTCACTGTGCGATTCACCTTGAGTTACTGAAAACAAAGCTGTTGTTTCTTAGGAAGTGAAAACATTCCTATTTACTTAAGCTTAAATCACAGATTCATCGAACGGTTTGGGTTGGAGATATCCTTTCAAAGTTTGTTTAATCCAAGCAGCCCAACCAGGGACTTCTTTTACAAGATCAAGTTGCGCAAAGCCCTGTACAACCTGACTTTGAACCCTTGCAAGGATGAGGCATCAGCAGCTTATCTGCACCACCTGTTCCAGTGCCTCACAACTTTCATAGTGAAAAACCACTTCTTTATGCCTAATGTACATTTATGCTCTTCCAGTTTAGAAACATTGCCCCTTGCTCTGTTAGTACAAACTATGCTAAAAGTTTTGTTTGTTTGTTTGTTTGTTTTCTTGAAGTCTTCATTTGTTTTTTTTTAGCTGATCTTTTCTGGGTGAAAATCCCACTTGAATTAATCAGATTCAGCTTTGCTCTGTTATCTTGGTTGGCAGCCTAGAGCTTAGACCTCCAGAATTCACTGCATAATATCTGTTCTGGGTTTAACTGAAGGTCTGTAATAGCCTGTGCTTTGAATTTTAAAATTCTGGAGGAAATCCAGTGTTTTCTGATACTCTGGCTTGCTGTCCTACTGAGTTCTGAAGAGGTAGCCCTGTGCTTTTCGTCGGTCATGCTTTCTTGGGCTGCTGAGTAGATTACAGATTTTAAACTTTTTTAAGCTTATCACAGATAGACTGTGTGCATCACGTCTGCAAACTTAATTCTCCGAGGAATACCCAAAGTTTTTGGTGTTTTTAATATGTAGATATTTAGATAGTGTATGAACAAAGGAGAATGGTTTTAAACTGAAGAAGGGAAAATTTAGATTAGATGTCGGGGGAAGTTTTTCACTAAGAGAGTGGAGAGGTGCTGGTACTGGCTGCTCAGAGAGGCAGCGGATACCTGGGGGTGTTCAAGGCCAGGTTGGATGGAGCCCTGAGCAGCCAATCCATTACTTGACGTAGGAGGGGGTTGGAACATGATGATCTTTGAGAAGCCTTCCAATCTAAGCCGCAAAGACTCCAGAATTCTATCACTCTGATTTTATGATGCTGTGATATTTGGATGGGGCATTAATATAAATCTAAAGACCAACATGTTTATTGCCACTGTAGTGTGAAATTGATATTGCAACCTGCTCACAGATTCTTCGCTCTTACCTACTTTGGCACTGTTTGCTATTTATTGTGTATCCAGATGAAATTTGTTCTTTGGTGGTGCTTTTCAGAGATGCTTGGCAGCAGCTGAGGGAGTAGTCTGAGTGGCACTTCTGCCTCTGTGTGTGCTCTGATTCTGAAGATTTAACGTTGTTGTTAAAGTTACGTTACCATTGGATGCCTGTTGGATGACATAAACTAGGTTTGAAAAACTTAGATGGTTGAATCAGTAACTACTTTGAGTAATCTTTCACTTGGTTGTTAGATATGGAATCAGTGTTCACTCATTCCTCTTTTTGGAACACATATTCAATTGGTAGCCTGCAGCCTACCTATGCATCATCAAAATCGCACTGAACAGCCCTTCTTGCTGTTAGTGCTGAGACCTCCTCGCAGTCATTCACTGCCTCAATCTCTCCTTTTCCCTGGTCCTCTTAGGCTGTTACACCCTGAATAAAGGGTGTAGATTTAGGCCTCTGATCTTGTCTTTCCCTTGGTTACCTGGAACAGTCATGTGGGCAGTTCCAGTTTGATTGGGGATGATGGGCAGCCCCATTCGTATGGTAATCTTTGTTGTGTTACCACTTTCTTTTCTAAGGATCATGGTGCCTCTTGAAATGCAATTTAACCTCCCTTCCAAAAATGGGTTTCCGTGCCTTGTTTGCAAATGGTGGAGATTTGCTAGTGTGTGGTGCAGGACATCCCACTGGACTGTGTGGTTTGTCTTGTGCAGCTGCCATTCTTACGATTGTACTGAAAATCATGCAAAAGTGACTGAGGATATAATTAGTTGGACAGAGGTTGCCATAGGCAGCAGAGTGGGAGCAGAATGGACTAACATGTATAGGACAGTGTTTTGATCCATTTTTCTGAAAGTTGCATGCTGCATTGTTCTCACATCTTAATCAGAACGAGAATTAGCTTCAAAGCAGGTCCTTGCG